GGTAGCGTGAGCGCTGCACGGATCCCGGTCAGCCTGGGGAGGATGGGTTTGCTGCGTCGGGTGAGGTGTTACTAAGAAAGCATATAAGTCAAAGCAGTCAAGCGGAGAAGCTGGGGATAATCGCACCCCGGGCTGCATGAAATGTGCTGGTCTTCTCATGTCTAAGGGGCAAGCAGCCCTCCCCACACTAATAGTATCATTGGTAATGGCACCTCTGTAGTATGCTCAGGAGAGGCTCCTGTCCTGTGTGCCCCCGATGGGCAGGGGAGCAGATTTCCAATGGCATCTCACCCCTTTCGAGGGATGAAAGGAGGTTATGCACCTGAAGACTCAGGTAGCCGTGTAAGGGGAGTTTCAGATGCACCTCGTTCCCACTTCCCTCAGTCCAGTTCAGGTGCTCAGATGCTTTTGAACATTGCAGTAGACACCTATCCTCGAGTAGATGGCTTTGCAAATCTGACCCAGTCTGATCCCTTCCACCACCAGACCAGCCCCCTCGGATGAAAGCACCGGTGTAGGGTTTATGGGGGAAAAATACGCCTTGTGACTGGTGTGGAGAGAGGCTCTCTTCTCTATTTTTTACTCGTCTTCAACTTATTAATATCTCGCAGAGAAAACCCTGCCTTACAGGGGTCAAAGGTGGGAGAGTGAATCACCGACAAGTTGGGGCACCGGGGTTAGCCATGACCCTGGTCGGGAGTGCTCCTTCACTACACCTACTCAGAGGGTGATTTTCAGACCTTCACACATTCGGTCGCATTTAATCCAGTGTTTTACCCAGCTACAAAACAGCGTTTCTTCTCATTCGGGGTCCTTTCCTTGTCAAGTTCACCTTTCTTCCAGGTGCTGACCTTCCCCACTCCTTTTGCCTTATTGCTGTTCCAACAAGAGTAGTTCAGATCTTCCTTGTAAATAGGGGACGCAGTCTCCCCCCTCAGATCTCTTCATCTGAAGCCAGCTGATGCTATTTTGCTCATGTCCAGAAGGCACAAACCAGGCTAGGGGAAAGCTTTAGAGAGTGACTTGAAGCAGGAATAAAATGCAAGGGCCTATACCCCTTGAGAGAGTATATCTCCGTAGTGCCCCCCAGTGTGTTAGATGCCGTCTGCGCACACAAGCTGACACAGCTCCTATCACTTGGAGCAGCGGTGGGCAAACTTGCCACTTCTGCCACCAAGGGTTGGAGCTTGCAACCCAGGTGCCCTGACCAAGCTCAAGCCACCTGTACTTACCTTTGCTGCAGATACCCAGGCCCTCTGTAGAGAGGGTAAGAGCGGGCACAAGCAGGGAGGGCTGTGCAGAGGGATGCTGAAGAGGCGACAGGCAGCCCAACCCTTCATGCTACCGTGGGCTGGGGCAGACCTTCCCAGGCCATAGGTTGCCAACCCCTAAGGACCTTGGGCTCTGCAGCCAAGATCCCACCCTGTGATCTATTCTGCATCTACGTGACCGCAGGATATTCATTCACTTTGGAGGAATATAGCCATGTTCTAGCGATTTTATATTCTAACCTATTATCGTTACGCTTAAGACCTTGAAGGCCTTGTGCTGATGAAAAGAAGGTGAATGCAAATTCTCTTTCCAAATGACACCTTGTAAAGAATACAAAAAGAGACCTGAGTGTGTAGTCAGGAATATCCAGTCTTTCCAATTACAGGCCACAACCCAATGCTAAGCAGGATGATATATCACCAATGCGAGACACTCTGGAGACTGTCTATTTGAAACCTGGGAAGAGCTATATGGCCTCCTCTGGCTCTGTGAGAGATCAAGCATGGAAAAGATGGAAAGAAGCTCACACAATTACAAATTCATGTGTCAGGAAATATTCACAGGTCTGTATATAGTCCGTGTCTGTTTTGTGGTGCTGTATCTCCAGGGACTTCAGTAGACTTAATCCTGATTTCCAGCTGCATTAGTGAGATCAGATGTGCGACCGATACAATTTGTGTGTCTCGGGATGATAGGTAAGGGAGCATCTCGCATATTTAGATGGGTGAAGCATGCTCTCTGCATTGTCACATATATCTGAACAGAAACAGACACAAAAGGGTTGGCGGGGATTAACAAAGTTTTATTAGTGTGACTCTGACACGGCCACATAATATATAGGTCACCTCCTATGAAGTGCCAATAAAGGCCTTATTCCCTTCCCCACTTGGTTTACGCTGCATTTTAGATAAAATGTCCTCTCAAAATGTTTAGGCTTTTAAACCACCTGGTTGCATTTTTCAGAGCCCTCCTCCTGTAAAGCCTTCGGGAGCAGATTTTGGCCTGCGACCGAGAGGAAGATGAAGTGACACGGTTTGGTATCTTTACAAATGAGCTAGTGAGCTAGCCTGTAAATCATGGCACTCTGATTTAAGGGCCCAATATCTAACCCACTGCCAGGGTTGGAAGCAAATGCCATCTATCATTGAGAAGCAGGGAATGACATCTCTCTGGTGGACACAGCATCCACCTCCAGCCCTGACGAGGCGACGGACAATAATACCATAAAAGCCTCATTGACCAGGGCCCGAGATCTGCCTGTCATGCTCTGGGGAGAAGTGTCATTTTGAGGGGAAACCCAACTTTTCAGAGGAAGGCACACATTTTGGCAATGTTTCAAGAAAGGGGGCAGCTGCCAGAAGGACCCTCAGAGATCTGGATCAGGCTGCAGGCGAGATGGTTGAGTATACCAGAGGGATCCAGCCTGTCACCGTGGTCCATCTAGCTCAGCTGCTTCCAAACTGCCTATCGCAGCAGGAGCCACCCGCCGTACCAACGAAAGAGAGGCTGTTGTGGCCAACATGCATGCTAGAAATGCAGTAAACCCTGCATTCAATTCAGTCCTTCAAGAGGAAGAAATATTGGTGAATTGTCTAGTCGTGATCAATTATCAGGCATTGCTAACTGCGGGTCGGGCGCGGCAGAGAATTGGGAAAATGTCGAGATAAGTCTTAGGTGCAACTCATCCTACAGATAAATGAACTAGAGTTCACTGAAGAGCCTTTTAGTGGGAATTATAAAGCTGGGTCAAGTATATACAAAGCGTTGCCTAGAGAAGGGGGGAAAGAAATTATGAGAAGCTGTAACCATTTGGCGTGCTTTTGAACACTTCCCAAAGGTCCTTTTTCAGACCTTCGAGCCATGAATGCTTTGTCTACTTAACTGTTAACTTTGAGCCATGAACCTTTTGTGTGTTTAGCTGAAACTCTGCTCTTTGCTTTTCCTGCAGCGGCATGACTGCATTTACACATGACACGAGGCTTGGGGATATGGATGACAGAGCCTATAACTTTCTCACCCATGGTCATGAGACCTACCTGTCATACCCCAATGTGATCTCTCCATATATGCTCAGCATAATTTAGTGACACTTGTATAGGATGGTTTGGATTCTGCGTTGGGCAGGGAGTTGGGGTAGATGACCTCTCAAGGTCATTTCCAGACCCACTTCTCTATGACTTTATGGGTCCTGCCACACGTTGAAATGAAAGCTGGATAGAAACCAGCTCTAGAGTTGTTACACATTTTTAAGCACTAGCTTAGCAGCTGGTTGGCTCTTTTTATGGCTGGATAGATATTTCTAGGGTGTGATCATTATTTTGCTCATGTGGCCCGTCTAGATTTATTGTGCGATTAACCAGTTAATTGTGTGAGAATTACTTTTCCTATGTGGCCAGTCTAAATTTATTGTGCGATGATTAGCCAGTGAATTGCATTATATATGTGATGTGTGGCAGGGGCCTATGACACGATGATCTATGTTGTTCACTCCAGAGATTGATTAGAAACGCCGGGTGCGAGTGCAGCGAGCAGAAAGTCATAAAAGCGTCCCCTGTATCTCTTAATAATCCTTGCGTCTCTGGCAGCAGTTTATAACCCTCAGTCACTACGTGTCAGGGCTGTTGCACTCTTCCCGCACGCGAGGAAACTTGCAGAGACATGCGGGGACTTGTCAAGATCACATTTCAAGTCAGTGGCACCGCTGGGAACAGAGCGCACTTCTGATGACTTCCAGACAAATGTCTTGTCCAGGGAGCTACCCTGCCTTCCTCTCTCTCCATCTATAGAGAGGCTGGAAAAGGCTTCCCAGGACATCAGTAATTATGGTTTGAATTCCCCAATGTCATAATGTTAGGCCATTAGGTAATCTCAGGATTTCATGACCAGACACACACCACATTGTGTGCTCTGATGGACTCAAGGACTTTTCAAGATTAATCACATTTAGCTAAAAAAAAATGCTCGAAATGAGGCATCAGTATATATTCGTCTGGAAATTTTCCACCGGTCATAGGCAAATAAAAAGGATGTATCATACCACACCAGGACCACAGAGGGAATGTTTCCAACAAAACACTGATCTGGGAACTTCACTATTTAAATTTAGCAGCATCCCTAAAGCTTTGCTGAAATACCTGCAGCAAAGTGGCATTTGAGCCGGCAACCTTCCCCAGTGCCCAGCTGGGGATCCTGCTTCAGGCTTTGGGAAACAAGATGCACGGTACCACTGCCTCTCCCCTCTTCTCCGCATCAACTAGCCACACAGAGAAGGTCAAACACGTCATACAACGCCGTGAGGTCACGTCTTTCAGCCGAGGCGCGCACAGTGCTTTGCAAACACCAAGTTCCTCTCGCTGCATCCTGGTGAAGTAGGGCAATGTCTTTATGCTCCTTCCTAAACTGAGTTTTAGGGAAGCTTTTTGTGCAACTCTTCTTGAAATCAGAGCACAGCTACGAGCGACCTGCAGACGTGTATAGCCCGCTGTTCTGCGCACGTCCCATACCACCCTCTTTCCTTGAGCCACAGGTGACCTGCACCTGCGATTTCCCACTGCCAAGGGACTTCCAGCTCTGGATGCTTGAGCCGCATCTCTAGGAACGCCTCACCCCGAACCCTTGCTCTTACTACTTAGATCGCTGTCCCTCCGCCCTCCCAGACTAAAAACTGAAAATAGCTCAGCATAACGACAATTATTACGTGCTGTCTCAGGCGGTGAGAGCCGACTTACCTCTGACCTGATTTCCTCTTCTACCTTGGAGGAGCTGAGGTTAGGAAAATCCCTCCATGGAACTGAGCACCGTCCCAAAAGGAGACATCTGTTACCAGGAGCAAGAATACACTGGAGTGTCTACGGTCTATGAAGAAATGCTTGATCTTTCTTGCTCTCTTCTAAATATAGCGTTGGAACCAACAGGGGAAAAAAAAACACTAAAAAAAAAAATTTTCCACTTGTCTTCAGCGTTCAGATTTTCTGCAAGAGTATCTGGCTCGCTGCCTTCAGCCTGCCTGCAATTTATGAAGTGTTAGAGATGCCGAGAAGGACTTCAGCTTTCCGTACGGTACTAGCTCTTCACCATCGCCCTTATATCCATCGCTGCATCCATCTCTCTGGGTCAGCTTTCCTACCTCCGTGGGAAGATGAGCTCTGCCGGCACGGCGAATTAATTGGCTCAAGAGGCTGGAAGCCAGCAAGCAACCGCTGCACCGTACGGGCAATGCATACCTCGCTTCTCACCTCCCCAGAACAAGCCAGGATTTTGCAGTGCATCTCTCTGCCTTTCCCATCAAGCTTTCCAATGACTTCCCTCCTCCACCAAGGAATGCAGCTGATAGAGGCCACCGCGTATCATGCCCGGAAGACTTCTTCCATTCCTATTGACATCTGACCTCCTGCTTTGCTTCTCCCAAGCTACATCTCTCCCATGAACTGGGCATAGTAGAAGGAAGCTTAATGGAGAAGCAAGAACAGAGCAAGCTGATACAGCAGCTAACATATTTCGGGTGATCCAGCAACAGGAACAATAAAGAGCTGCTGATCCAAGTCGTCTAATCTGGGGCAGCGTGAAGTGTCTAGCGCTGCCACCAGCTCGCCCACATCACTCGCGTGCTGTGGCTGGCAAAGAAATCCTGCATGTTTCAAAACCCGGCTTGTGAAATGAAGAGTCTGAGGGAAGGGTAGACAGCTCTCCGCTTAATGGCAGGTGTCCCAGGAGCGGAGCGAGAGAGGCAGGGCTCCTGGTTTACCCTTGACATATATGAATGAGATAAGCTACTTCACATTTTTGTGTTGTAATCTACCCGTCTGCTCAGTGAGTTTGCTATGCACCAGGGAGGTACATGTGTGCATCTATATGGGATGCTCCAAAGCCCCCCAGCCTTGTCAGGGGTGAACGGCACACCACTGGCATGCCTTCACGGTGCCAGGCAAAGTGCTGATCTCCCCGTTTCAGAGAGGGGGAACGGAGGTGATCTGCTCCAGGATCCATGGAGGAGACGGGAATCGCAGCGAGGCTAGAGCCCGAACCACTGGCCCACCCTTCTCTTCCTCCTGTTTGAAGGGAGCCGTGATGATCGAGGGTGAGACGCTCCATGAAATACTCCAGTTGTTTCATAGTTG